GGAGATCCAGAAGCAAATGGCAGGCCGCGGATAGTTGGAGGGCCTAGGGCCTGGCACTCGGGTAGCCCTAACCCGATGAATCCTTGAGACACGCACGTGCGCGAGCACCCAAATCTTTGCACTGTCGTCTTCTTGGGAGTACACAGAAGTGTCAAGCCTCTCACATCTCTTCTCTTTGTGTTGTTTCTTCTTTCGCCGATGGTTTGGATGAAAGGTTAGAGTGGGTGTGGGAGAGCGGAAGGAGGGGATATCAGGGGATGGATGGAATCGGCTAAGTGGGAATGGGTCCGCGTAGTTGGGCCTGGACCCTTTAGACCTCCCCCCTCACCCCCCCTAGAGACTGAACCCTACCTGTTACTTGTTAATTTCACTCGTGCCTGGGACCTGAAGCTCCCAACATCTCCCAATACCATTCCCCATCCTCAGTCTTGCAGCCAACGAGCCTGCGTTGCCTTTGAGGTCCTGGATGCTTCGTAGTTGACCTATCCCTCTGAGTGTAATTCCGGGCCTTGCGGAAATCGGAACCCGAACCTGGATCAGTCGCTAGGTGCAGGACCCCTCGAGGACCCCTGGACACACGACCAGAACCCCACAAGCACACAGAGGGCTGAATCCCAACTCCGAACCCCAACGCCCTCAGGCCTCGTGTCTGACAAAGCAGAGGCCAAGCCTGGGGAGAGTTGAGGATCTGGGGCCAAGGGCCTTGAGTGAACAGGATCAGGAATTAGGGGAGCAGGGGAGTTACTGCCAAAGCTCTTAAGCCAGAACCACATACCGGATGTTTCTCTGACGTCAAGGATTCACAGGGAGTTTTTCAATGGGCTTTCGAGGTTAGACTCTTCCTTCGAACTTCGCCTGGGATAAAGCCGACACCCAAAGTCCCAATGAAGCTTCTAAGCCTTGAGGTTCACAAGCTTTCGTTGTCCAGCCGCTGTCCCTAAGCTGCTGGGGGCTCTGAAAAATCTAAGAGATCCAGGAGTAAACTACGACTTGGGCCCCCACCAAGAATCTCTAGCCTGGAAGGTGACTTCTGCTCTCCATGGCATGTTCCGGAACAAGCTGCAGTTCAGGAGGGTTCAGAGTTGAGGGCTGAGGTTTTAGGTTTGGAGATGGTTGGAGCCCTGGGCTTTCAGGGTTGACTTCGGGATGTAGGGCTTTTCGGGGATGGCTTCGGCTTTCAGTGGGGGCAGATTGAGGGCAGCGATTCGGTTGCTCAAGGCCTCGAAAATTCGTAACCCTAACCCCAGCTTTCCGTTAAATGGATGGATGGTTGGGCTGCAGGCTCCGACTTGCTTGAGGATTGAAGCTGTTCATTTTACTGCCGTTCAGCCTTGGGGTTTGGGCCGGATTTAAGGGTGTCCATCTCCCGAAGTCCAACGCCTACAACCTGACAAGTTGCACTGCGGGGGCAACTCTGACCTGCAGAGGACGGATTCGGTGTCCGAGGACGAGGAATCCTTGGATGACAGGCGCGGGGAACTCAACAAAGGCGAGTGAGGTGAGCGGGTCCTTCTGTTCCCTTTGTCCGCTGAAAATCCCATGTCACAAGGGAACTAAGCTGGGAGCACTGGCTCGGAGACAGGGCTTCGAGCGCGGGGTGGCCGTACCAAACGTGCACACACGCACCGGCAGCAAGACTTAGGGAAACCAAGTTTAGCTTGTCCCCTTTTGGCTGCACAGACTCCAATAGTATCCGGGGCAAAGCCTGTAAATCAAGGAATCGCCACTGACCAAAGGGTGTCAACAACAAAAATGAGAGCAGCAAAGCTGACGAATTAAGCCTTAAGCCCTCCACACAAGCCCGAAACCCTAGGCCCCTAAACCCTGCAATCCTAAGGTCCTAAACCCTAAAGCCTTCGGTCCCTGAACCCCGGGGTGTGAAAATCCGAGGCCGTCGCACTGCCGAGCTCGCGCACTTGACCCTAAACCCTAAACGCGACGCTCTGCGCGAAATGGGTATTTCCCCCAATAGGCGCACCCTTAATATACGCCAAAAAGGTATAATCCGTCTTGTAGGAAATCCCACAAGGGTACCCTATTTCGGAAACACCCCCAGATAGCGCTAAACCTTGATCCAGGGCCATCGCCAGCTCCGATATGTCCCCCGGCGGCCGGAGTACGCAGAGGACCGGGAGAGACCAGAGCCAATTTCTGGATTTATGTTTCGGGGCGGAGGGCAGTTAGGGGCTCATGGTTTTTCGCACTTTTGCGCTTTTGGCCCTTGGAGGGTTTCGCGGTATGAAGAGGAGCTTCGTCGAGCTTGGACCTTAAAGACTCAACCGCAAGGACCTGAGGCTTCCAAACCGAGCTGACGACCCGGGTTTTGGGCTTTGGCGGCTTTGGGTTGAGGGTGCGGATTGCAGCGGTGGTTCTGAGGGCTTAAAGGCTGAGGCTCCTAACCCTATCATAAGCCCTAGACATAGAAACGCAGGAAAGGTCTAGAATGCGGTGACAAAGACTTTTCTGGGACATGCCGCGTGCACGAAGCTATTGGTTTAGGCGAAGCATCGTCGATCTTTGGGTACATCTCGTCGAGCTTGGCCTCAGGAGCAACAAGAACGTGGCTTTCGACGTCGGCACCTTTCTCAGATGGGCAATGGTGGGGAGCATGTGCTCGAGAGCCCGAAGCACTAAATCCTAAGAGCTAGTGCGGAGAGCTAGTGCGGAGGCTTCAATCACAAAAGCAGCTAGGCATGCTAGGCAGCTAGGCAGATAAGATAAAATGGGAAAACCTATGTTTCTGTTTTTGGGCTTTCACGCTTGTTGCTTTGCAGAAAGCAAGCAATCGCTACACCAAAAGCATGAAGATCCAGAGTGATCATAGTAATCGTTCCTGAGATGCACATCTGCAGTACAATTAATTCTTCAAGCAGGGTGAAGGATCCAACTCCCTGAAAACCATCAAGCATGCACAGAAAGGGAGCAGAAGGCATGCGGATTCCGTGCACAATCCTGAGCTGTGAATGCTGTTGTCCGGGAGCACCTAGTAGTGCCTGATGGCCATCGTGACGCGGGGTCGCGATTCCGTAGTATCCACCCTTGAGCCCAACTCGAACACTAAAATGCTAGAATCCTAATGATCGCCTAGGGGCACTCAGGGGCTTGGGGGGCTTCATGGTTCAGGAGAAGACACGGACATAACGCCAGTGGCACAGCAGGTCGCCAGAAGGAGCTTGCTGACGAGGAGTTGTTCTCGTACATCGAGTGAGTCGGGTGGGCCGCAACATCGAAGTTGCCTCGGACTTTCATGGAACCAATCGGGGGTCAGGCTCCAGAGCCCTGAATCCTGAGCCCTGAAGCTCTAACCTTTCGACAAGACCGAAGTACACCTCAGCATGAGCGCGAGATGCATTTCATGTTCTGTAGCACTTCACGAAATCCCCCCGTAGGCCTGTCTCCGAAGCACGGGGAACGAAATCTCTCCACACATCCTGTCCCACGCTGCGGCCCATCTTGGTTCTGGGGCTTTTCCACGCAGCTACTCCAGGATCGGGATAGGGGTTTTGGGTTTAGTTTAGGGTTTAGGGTTTAGGGTTTAGGGTTTAGGGTTTAGGGTTTAGGGTTTAGGGTTTAGGGTTTAGGGTTTAGGGTTTAGGGTTTAGGGTTTAGGGTTTAGGGTTTAGTTTAGGGTTTAGGGTTTAGGGTTCTTGAGTTTAGGAAGTTTAGGGGGCCGCTTTGGCTTCCATCTTTGCCGGCACCAGGCCAACCCAAAGTCCAGAAACGGAACTTGACTCCACCCACAAGGCTTGCAGAGCTAAGGGAGTATAAGGGAGTGATGTGCACCCTAAACCCTAAACCCTAAACCCTAAACCCTAAACCCTAAACCCTAAACCTGACCTCTCTCAACTCTATGGTCTGTCAGTTAGATCTGGTTAGAGCCTCCGAGGTTGGGTCTAGGGTAGGGATGCGGACTCGCAAGGTAAAACTGAAGACCATCTGAGATCTTGCGGGGGAGCTACCGTCAGTACCCAGTGAACCTTAGTAAGTTCCAATCCGATACTACAAGAGCCTGCACTTCCCCACTTGCCCCCTTACAGGTCTAATTTGGGCGTGTAGGGGCCATGCTGGAAACAATTCTATCATGAATTTCCATGAAAATGAACCCTTATGCTCTGCGAAATCAACCCCGAACTGGACCAATATCAAGGCCTGGTACGGCGACGTTCCTTGTAGGGGATTTTGAGCTTCAGAATTTCGGCTGCCATGGGTTGTTCTGAGAACAGCTCATACAATTCCCACGTGCCGTGATTCGGTGCTTCCGGCAAGGGGGCTGCATGTCAGCAGTGCAGGCCACAGGGATCAAGGCTGTTTAGGGAGAATTTAGGCTTGCTCGCTTTCTCGCACGTTCTCCCTTGCAGCGGAAGAACGTGTGGTTTTCCGTGCACCATGTTGGAAGCTCGCTCACTTTGTCGAGTCAAACGCCACAACGTGGCTGTAAAGGTTTCAGCTTAAGAGCTTGGAATTTCAAGGGTGATGGTTTGGTTCTGGGTGTAGATCCACACAAGTTCCCAAGCTTTCAAGCTTCCGGGAAAGAGCCCTTAAATACTCCAGAACCTGGACTCTAAGTAATATCAAAGGCGCAGCTTTCGGCCGAGCGGCGCAGTGCAACCCGATGTCTCACGCCATATGGCGTCGAGCTGCAAAAGCGAGGATTGGGGTTTCGGGTTAAGGGTTTGAGAATTTGAGGCGTGGGGTCTAGGCCCCCCAAAAAAAGGGAAACCCTATTTGCCTACTCAGCAGCCGCCTCGCAGACCCCACGTGATTTCTGCCGAACTTGCGAATCCCAGACCCTAAGCTGCTTGGCAAGCTTCCCAATCTCCACAAGTTACCCCTTACAAACCTGATCCTCTGATTAGCGAGTAGGGCTAGCACTTCCTACCCAACTCGCACATCCACTTCTAGCTGCACATGACTTTCCTGTCATCCAACAGCCTCAGTCCCTCAAGCCCTGAAACCCCTGCACTAAACCCCTCAAGCGAGCCTGGGCCCCACTGCTGTAGGCCTGCTCCCGAATGCTTCTCCAGCGCTGGCGGAGCCTCAGGGTACGACCGGCTCAGGATTCAGGAGTCGGTGTGTCAACCATTGTAAACCCCCCTCCCATAAGTCCGAAGTCCACAAATGGGCCTGGAGCTCAAGGTGTTGCTGGTAGCCTTACATGTCGATAAAGCCCTTGGTCGTTCACCGACATCCCCCGTGTGCTACATCTTTGTGGAAATTCCGTCACCTCTACGTAGGTGAAGTTCGCAGAGTACCCAAGCATTTACCTACAGCATGGTCCCGGTTAGGGCTCAGTGCTCCCTTAGTCCGGGATTTGGACTCAAGTGTTTCCATGAGCCAGGTTTAGCCCGTGCATTATGGAACCTTACTTGGCTTGCCTGGCTCAACTGTTAAACTTGTGTGCAGCGTTCGTTAAATGCAATGTTAAAGCAACTGTAATGTTAACAGTAGTTGTCTGCTGCTGAAAAAGGGTGCCCTTTTGGGCTTTAAGGGGATGAAAAGGGAACCCCAAGCCTAAAAACATGAAATAAGGGCCTACTCCGGGTCCTAGAATCACGTCGGCTGCGTCTTGAGGGTTGTCCTTGTGAAGAGTTGTGTTCCTGCAGATAGTATTTGCCCTGTATAACCCATATATATATATACGCATATATATATATATGTATATATACCTTGTATAGTCCCTATATACTTAAGTAAGGAAAGCTTGACTTAGGCTTCTGCTGTGGCTTGTGGCCCGAAGCCAGAAGCGAAGGAGTATCTGCTCACAGTATTGCTGGCTGCAAGCTCCTCGCGCCACACGCTTCTTTCCAGAACATCTTGTAGAGACGTAGATGTGACCGAATAGCCCCCGGTGTGCTTTGATGAAGCTACAGACCTGACCCCCTGTTTCGCCAACGTACTCCCTATGGGCTCAGTACTGTAGAAAGCGGGGTTCTCTGCACCCGAAGCCCACCTTCCTAAAGTTTAAGTAAAAAAGCCCTCACGCTGCTAAGAATTGGCAAGCCGCCCAAAGCCAAACCTCAAACCAGCTGCCATACCCTAAAACCAAACTCTCGATCTTGCACCAGGCATCTCTCGCAATGTTCTGGAGCATGCTGCACAACCTTCTGAAGGCTGGAATCGCCCAAAAGATCTTGAGGTTTAGGGTATTGCTCGCATTGGGAAGATGACTCTGAATCCCTTCAGTTCTAAAGCGTGCGAATGCACGATGAATGAGAGATCAGTTGTGAGATGATGGGGCCAGGCGAGATTTTTCGAAGGTTTCATAGCAAGTGTGTGAGTCACAAGACCTACAAGCCCTGCATGCCTTGAAACCAAGAACCGGTTGCCACCATGTGTGTAATGCTACACCTGGCAAATGGCCTGGCTTGCTAAGCAGCTAAATCACTCGGACAAACTACATCTCGCAGCACGGAGGGTGATGAGAGTTCCGAAAAACAGTGAGGACTTAAGAATTGCCAAGCTCAAGTCCCGGCATGAACGCAGTAAGCAGTGTCTTTCACAAGTCAGACATGTCAACATGCAGTAAATACTGCTATTTGCAGCGTTAAAGCATGTAACTAAAAAAAAACCTATCAAGAATCACATCTTTCAGTCCAAAAAGAGCGTTTTGGAGCATTATGGTTTTCGCACCTTTTTGTTGCTTCAGAGGACGAGCGCTTGGTTTCCGCACCCCCTTTGCCACAGCAAAGGGGTGTGAAAGCGTGGCTTGTGCGGATGAGTGCGTCCCGCTGTTTGTCACGGCATGGGTTCATGTTCTTGTCGTTTCCTGCGAACTTTGGTGAAAAAACCAGTACGGTGGTAGGGACAGGGGGGTAGTCACGTGGGTGTCGAGCTTTTCCCACACCACATCTCAAACCATTGCTCTGCACTCTTTCACTTAACTGAGCCGCCACGGGAGAATTTCAGCGAGAGACGACCGGATTTCGCCCCGTCTCGTGCGCTTAAGACTTCAACACCACCGCGGCCATCAGCATGGCAAGGCTAATGCAAGGTCTTCCTAACTGGCCTAATTCGGAAATCTGGAGGTCTTGGGTGTTCCGTGAGCTCTCGACCTTTCTCTTGCATGTCAGTTGAAGCAACGTTTGATTGAACAAAGACGAAGACGAAGCTCTTTCGCGCGAAACCTATTGGCAACATGACTGTCCTTGAATCCTGGTGACCCTGAGATTTTTAAATCCTCAGCATGCTCTGAGCTACCTCCCAAAAATCTTGAGAGCTTTTCGTCCCATAGGATTTTGGGATGAGAGGTCAACCCGACTTCTGTCTTCAAATCCACGTGAGTGGGATTCCCCGTGAAGGAGGTCACAAGTTCTGGACATAAAAAGGTGATTAAATCAGAGAGTTTCAATGCATAAGCATATTTGAAATTACCCTTGGCTTTGAGGTCTGAGTACTGAATTTTTCCCGAATGCTCCGCAGAAGGGTTCCCGTTTTAAAGTTGGGGGTCTGGGGGTTGGGAGGCCTCCCGCCAAACGTCGTTGCGTTGTGTTCGCGAAGCGTCCGGGAAGCGTCCGCAAGCGTCCGCGAGCGTCCGCAAGCGTTCGCGGGTGGCGTCGCGCGCGCTGTTGAGGGGGAACTCCACAGGGACGCGTGTGCCGCGGCCTTCGGAATCCGTCAAGCTAAGGGGGAACTCCACAGGGCACGCGTGCCCCCGCGGTGTTCCGAAACCGTCAAGCTGAGGAGGAAGTCCACAGGACGCGTGTGCCCGCGGCGTTCCGCGTGGCGTTCCGCGGAGTTCCGAATGCGTCAAGGTAAGGGGGAACTCCACAGGATGCGCGCCGCTGTGGCGTTCCACGTGGCGTTCCGCGGCGTTCCGAATCCGTCAAGCTAAGGGGGAACTCCACAGGATGCGCGCCGCTGTGGCATTCCAGGAGGCGTTCCGCAGCTTTCCGAATCTGTCAAGCTAAGGGGGAACTCCACAGGGCACGCCTCCCGGGGCGTTCCACGTGGCGTTCCGCGGCGTTCCGAATCCGTCAAGCTAAGGGGGATCTCCACAGGATGCACGTCCCCGTGGCGTTCCACGTAGCGTTCCGCGGCGTTCCGAATCCGTCAAGCTAAGGGGGATCTCCACAGGACGCACGTCCTCGTGGCGTTCCACGTGGCGTTCCGCGGTGTTCCGAATCCGTCAAGCGAAGGGGAACTCCACAGGGTACGCGCCCCCGCGGCGGTCCACGTGGCGTCTCGCGGTCCGGTGTGGTGGTCCGTGCTGGTGGTCCGTGGTGGTCCGTGGTGGTGGTCCCGTGGTGGTGGTCCCGTGGTGGTTGTCCCGTGGTGGTGGTCCCATGGTGGTCCCGTGGTGGTGGTCCGTGTGGTTCGTGGTGGTGGTCTGTGGTGGTGGTCCGTGGTCGTGGTGCTGTGTGGTGGTGGTCCGTGGTACCTCGTGGCGGTGGTACCTTGTGGTGGTGGTCCGTGGTGGCGGTCGTTCGTGGTGGGATGTGGGTGGGTGGGGTGTGGGTGCGTGGACTGGTGGTGGTGGTACCTTGTGTTGGCGGTGGAACCTGGTGGTATGGTGGTTGTGGTAGCAGTGCTTGGTGGCGGTGGTGGTACCTGGTGGCGGTGGCGGTGGCGGTGGCGGTGGCGGTGGCGGTGGTGGTGGTGGTGGTGGTCCCTGCCTGGGTGGTGGTGAAGGCCGTGGTGGCGGTGGTGGTGAAGGCCGTGGTGGCGGTGGTGGTGAAGGCCGTGGTGGTGGTGGTGGCGGTATACACCTGGTGGTACTTGGTGGTGGTGGTGGTCGTGGCACCTGGTGGGGTGGGGTGCGGGTGGGTTAGATGTGGGTTCGACTACGCAAGAACTTCATGCACAATGATTCGATTGAACCGTGCGAGAAAGAAACGTCTTTTTCCGCCCGCGCACTGACGTTTCGTTTATATTGCGTCAAAAGTACGTTATAGGTGACTGCTTTCTGCATTCGGGTTCGTGGCTCCTAGCAGGTTTGTCAACGATGACGATGACATCGTTGGATGAATTGTTCGTATTTCTATTGCAACATTAAATTTCAGATGATTTTCGCATCTCTTCTTTGATGAAATTTGTACTGGAGGAATTATCAATTCAAATATTTTTGGAATAATCTAGAAATAGTTCTTCTGAATAATATTACAGATGATTGAAATGATATTCAAAGACGAGAGAGATGTCCATTGAATATTCGTCTAATGTATCATAATGTATCTATTCAATTTAATTTGATTGGTTTTAGCTTCGGTCATGATTTCTAATTTATTTTTGATGAAGGATTTTCAAGAATCTCGATGGTCTTTGATTTTATTTTCTTGCCGAATTTTGCAGGGTTTTATTCGGCGATGTTCTTTGTGTTTGGATTTCTTTTTTGAAAAAATGAATATTAAAATTCATCTTATTCTAGATTTCGTATATGTATATTTATCTATTGGGAATTGAGAAGATGAGCATCATTCTCTCTATGATGAAATATTGATTTCGAATTTGAACGAAGGATGAAAATAAGAGAAATGTTATTAATATGATTCGATTTCGAAAGAGATAATTTCTTTTGAATAATTGGGGGGAATGGGAATTTTTTCTCAAAAATGAGAGGGGAGAAATTTTCTTTTGATATTTGAAGGATTATCATATTGATTGAATGATGGGAATTTCTTTTTTATATCAATTTGGATTTCGATATTAATTCTTTTTTCTCAAATCGATTTTAATATTCGATTTTCTTGGTTCTATTTATGAATAATCAAAATTGATTTGAATAATTTCGTAATATTCTGCA